CTGAGAGAGAGGGGTTAATACACTACAGACACACTGACTGGACACTCCAGTACATTAACACTGCACTGAGAGAGAGGGGTTAATACAGTACAGACACACTGACTGGACACTCCAGTACATTAACACTGCACTGGGAGAGAGAGGGGTTAATACAGTACAGACACACTGACTGGACACTACAGTGGATTAAGAGAGAGGGTGGAGAGGTGAAGGAGGAGGAAGGAAGACATTGAAGAAATAGAGAACCCACAGAGGAGAAGTGTTTAAGCCCCGTCATCCTCTATGCTGTTTCTGCAAAAATAAAATAAACTTCACCTTTTCCCAGGAATAGAAATAGAAATAAAGAGTAAGAGCCTGCTGGCAGTTTTGAATTAGTGGAGTGGCGAGTGTGAGTCCCTGTAGCCTTCTGCCTGTCTCTCAGGATGAGCTCTAGACAGGTATGTAGATGCCATCAGCATTTAAACCTGAGGACAGGAGGCACTACTTTACACAAAGGGTTGTGGGAGCATGTTGCCATTCTGGGCTGTAGGTTGTGAGCTTTTTCTTACTAGGTTTTGTGGTTGGACAGCCGGTGCGTGCTTTTTGCCATCTCTTTCTCTGTGTGTGTTCACACGGAGGAAGCTGATGTAAGAACATGACCCAGGTCACAGACGAGAGGAGTCCTTTGGCCCATCTGGCTCGTTCAGTCGTTAATTGATAATAGCTTCTCATCTAGCTGTTTCTTAAAAGAAACTGTAGTATCGGCTTCAACAATATGCCCGAGCAGGTTGTTCCACACTCCCGCTCTGCTTTGTGTACAGTGGTGTCTAAACCTTTTTTAAATTATTTGGAAACGTGGTGTGTCTAGGTAGCTTCTTTTTAAGAATCATTAGGAGTGAAAGTGTGCACTGTGAGGTACAGAAGAACGCAGGGTCTTCAGACAGGTCACAAGCAAGAGGCGGCCATTCCACCTGTCATAGTGATCCTGACAGATCTCCAACACATCAGTGACCCACCCCACCCTGACAACCCCTCTGCAAGCAGGAACCCCAGATTTCCCCCGAACCTGTCCCGCAGCTCCCTGCAGCTCAGACACAGGCAGGAGCAGAGATCTTCATCTTCCTCACTGTCCCTGGGCTCAGACACAGGCAGGAGCAGAGCTCTTCATCTTCCTCACTGTCCCTGGGCTCAGACACAGGCAGGAGCAGAGCTCTTCATCTTCCTCACTGTCCCCAGGCTCTGGGACACAGGCAGTGGAAGTCTGACACCCAAAAGTAACATGTGTCAGGAAGGAAAGTCATGTACACCTCGGGTGTTATCTTTCACTTGAAAGAATTTTGACCAGGACATGAACATCTCTCGTTCCTGCTACTGAGTTACAGTAGTACACTTGCGCTCCATCCTCCTGACTAGCTGTGCTGATTTACACTGTGATGCTATCTTAACACACACACTGCTACCTGTACCTAGCAACTCCTGTCATACTGATCAGTCTTCCTTGTCTGGTGACGCAGTGTCTGGTGACTGTCTGTCCACAATCTTCTTCTCCCTTAGATTCTGTCTCCTCATCCTGACTGCTTGTCCACTGCCTGTCCACCTGTCAATCCCCTTCCTTATGCCGATCAGATCAGATTCCTTTGCTGCTGCCATCATTAGTAATATTATCAATCCAGCATCTATGCCAGGTCTACAGGCAATTATGCATGACAAGATTAAGACATCTTCCTGTGCACTTTCCCGCTGCAACCTCAAAGCAAAAGCCAGCAGCTTTCTAATGACATCCAAGAGGAATTCTTTTTTTATTAATACCCCTTTAAAATATCACTACATTTTTCATGTACAACTACATTTTTAGTTCTGCAATCAAGCATTTTAATGTCAAAGGTTACGGGCTGAAGATAGTGTCAATAACATGTCTGAAATTATTTTCCTTTTCTTTTATTTTGTTTGTATGTATGCTTCCAATGTATTATAACCTTTGAAAAGTTCTTAGTATATTATGAAATGCACTGTATGTTTAATAATTATTCTGTAACAATAACCAGCTCTTTTGCCAAATGTAATAAAACAGGGTTTGAACATATCCTGATATTAGCTTCAAACTCCTGATAATACATTCCGTAAAAACAGAGTGACATAGGCACAAAACTAAAATCCAAATATTTATTTGCTTAATTAACATTTAACATAATCACAAGAAGTCTGAGTCCAGGACTACTACAATTCAAAGTGACTCTCAGTGGTCCTTCACAAGCCCTTCTGCAAACCTGGGTTCAGGGAGGTCCCGCTGGTTTCTGTATAATATCAGGCCCTCCCAGCACAGTCTGCTCTTTAACACTGACGCACAACTGGGAGAACTGCTTCTCTGAACTGGATACTGCATCACTGAGAGACAAGCTCAGTCTAAGGAAGTTAATATTCCTCCAAATATAAATACAAGCCCCTTTATGTCTACATTTACCTCTGGTCCCTTCTAAACCAAGGAACACCTATTGTGTTGCAGTCCACAAAGACTCAGCTGTATTTCTGGAGGTTTGTTGCCAAAGCAACAGTGACACAGTATGTTAAGACACTTTTAATAAATGACATGTAGAAAAGTGTTAAAATAGTTCTATCTAGCTTGAAATAACTGAGTTTCCTAAGAAAACTTTTTTTTTAAATGGTTTCAGAACACTTGGCCGATCTTAGGTTTTTGTCTGTGAGTCCAGTCCCAATTAATTGTAGGTATTTTCAGAACATTTATCACTTTAAAGACAACTTCTCACACCATTTAGGAAAATCATTTAGAATGGGCCTGTGATGATTTTCTAGGTACTTTAATGAGCTGACAAGGGCTGTGTCATCAGCATACGTATTGAGTGTCTCTGTGTATGTTTGCTCTTACAATTGTTAGGGTACAGAATATAGAGTAGGAGGGACAAGACACAGCAGGTGAAAATACTATCAAGAAATAAATAGAATTGGGGGAGAGGTGTGAGTAATCTGTACAAAATTGGATAAGATAAATCTGTCTTTGAGAGCTGGTAGATGTCAGTACTTTTGCCCGGGACTGTGCAGGTGTGAGTTCTGCTGGGCTGGTCAGTGACAGAGCTGCTGGTTTCTTTTCCAGGAGCTGTGTTGGGGGAAGATCTGATCACTCAGGTCCCGAGTCTGGTCACTGGGACTGAGGGGCAGTCGGTCACTCTCAACTGTACTGTCCGTGATACAAGTGCTGGAGCAGCAAGGTGGAGCAGAGACACAGGCAGAGGCAGACAGCCCTTCTTCAATACAGGAGGTGGGGCCAGTGACCCCCGCGTGTCCTTTATATTAGATAACCATCTAGCAGACAGGTCCATCAGAATAGACAACCTGACCCTGGGGGACTCTGGGGTCTATTACTGTGACAAGTACAGACCAGGTCCCTCCAGTGAGATCGCAATCCCAGGACCAGGAATGAATCTGACAGTGGCAGGTAAATGTCTTCAATCTCACTCCAGTCTCTCCAGGATCAGAGCTCTCCAGGGGCAAGAACAGATAACCTCAATAACCAGAGCTGCTCCAGCATTCCCCCAGGCCTGATCCTGAGAGGTGAAGATACTGTACATCACACTGGAGAAAAGACAGGCTTAAAAATCTCTGGAGAGAAAAAGGTGTTGTAGTCACAGTGTGTCAGTGGGAGTTATTGTTGTAAACAATGACACACCACATCCCTGCAATTCTTAGCGTCTCTCATGACAAAGTTCTTCGATCTTGTACTCGATCTTGTATTGTACTGTACTGCTCTGGTACTGCTCCAAATCTGGAATTCACTGCTTGCTTTAAAAAAAAATATTGTGGTGAAACTCAAATGAACTCTTAAGTACACTTTCCCCTTTTTTAAAATAAAAGGTTGATTTATCTTATATAGATTTTAAAGAGAGGACAGAGACCCAAGGTAGAATTAATCAAGATTCCCTTGAATTACTACAGATTATTGAAAGTTCAAACTACACAGAAAATGTTAAAATAATATTTAGTGCTCAGTTGCCTACAGGAAGAGATACTGTATGACCTTTTCTCCATGTAGAGCAGAATAGGGGTTGATGTAGTCTCCCCAAGTCTACAGTGGGGGTCTCTGGCTGTAGTCTTGTCTTCTGCTGTTTCCCTTCTCTGTTCTCTCTTGCACCAGGCACAGGTTGGTTTCTGAAACCCAAAGGTCTGGTGAGGCAGTGTCTGGTGACGGTGTCTGTCCACACTCTTCTTCTCCCTTAGATTCTGTCTCCTCAGCCTAACTGCTTGTCCACTTCCTGTCCACCTGTCACCCCCCCACAGTGCTGTTAATGTGTCCTTGTCCCAGTCACACTGACCCCTGTCTCTCGCCCCAGCACAGCCTGATGCTTCTCCCAGTGTACAAGCAGCAGTGAGACTGGCAGTGTTTGTACTGGTGACACTGGCTGTGCTGGTTCTGTGCATCTCCCTGTACAGAGCGAGAGGAACTCTACCAGGAGGCAGGTAAGAGACAGGCTCTGGGACAGGCTCTGGCTGATTAATTCTTTCACTTCTCTAACATTGACCAGTCACTTAATCAAATTCTTTGGATGATACCTTGTGTTTGGCAAATCCCTGATGCCTCTGAAATCACTTACATCTCTCCCTGTGCACAGAAGAATGTGACTGTGTTATAAAAATAAAGACGACTATTTCTCCACTGGAAAGGTAAAAACACATTGAACAGGAGGGGGTTCTCCTGAGGGCAGTGTGCTGTAGAGGTGATCTTTTAATATCATAACATTTTAATAACAGACACTAAGCAGCTGTGAGGTAAAAATAGTGCTTTTTGACTTTTTACATTTAGGGAACAGAAACAAAACTCTGGCTCATACTTGTGCTCTGCGTGCACTTTTCCCCAAACGTCCTCTATAATATATAGTGCATCTTCTCTTCTTAAAAACAGAACCATCTACCAAAGAGACTTGATCAACAGGTCAGGTCGTTGCCACCTCACTCCCTCCTCCCTCTGGTGCAGAGTGACAGAGGCTCTGCTCTCTTCCCGAACGGCAGAGGTTTCCAGCTCAGTGTTTCACGTCTCTGCACTGCTGTGTTGGTGTTGCTGTGTGCTGGACTGCTGGACTGAACTGCTGTTCTTTCTGTCTTCTGTTCTCACACAGGACTAGGGAAGGAGAAGAGAAGGTGACCGAGGAACGAGACACAGTTTTCTAGATGAACCTGTGTGCACTCTATGTCATCAAAAAACTCAACACCACTGAGCTCCACACTCACAGCCCTGCACACTGATTAACCCTGTCTACA